CCCCCCCCCCCCCTCCCGCTGCTGTTGTTGTCTTCCCTCCAGCCTTCGACGGCATAGGCAATCGTGGAGCAACGAGGACATCGAGTCCGCCGCAAGGTAAGGTTTCTTTCAGATGTGTCCGAGGCGGGCACGAAAATCGCGATCAAAGGGAAGAGCTCTTTTGGGTCGAGATGGTTGAAAATTGGCGATCAGTAGATGGTGTGAAAGTTCCAATTGTCCATAGCGCCTTCTGCATGTAATGCGACCGTCTCTTCTGGTATTCTTGTAGCGGTAGGAGCTAGTGTAGCAGCAGGGCGGGCTCTCCACCTCTGAAACTATGCGCTTTCCGCGCCCGCAGAACGCAGGCGACGCATACGATCCCCCCCCCCAGTCCTCTGGAGGACGCCTGGTGAGTGGTCTAACAGCAGGGCATGCAACACATGAGAGTACCTCTCCCCCCCCTCCTTGACCAACAAACAGCATCCGGAGTCGGAGCAGGATGCGACGCAGCATGCGCTCCAAGCTGGGGAGCAAATCTTTCAACGACCTCGACGATAGTGTGCACCTCACTAGTCCCGGGAAGCGAATTGCGCGGTTCAGCAGCTCCGAGGGCACCACATACGGACATCGAACCGTTCGGAGCAGCCTGTCCTTCAGGGGGTTGCTGGGGTCGATGGGGGGAAGCAGCAGCGTGGGCGGTGGACAGGTGAATACTTTGTTTCCGTGCGTGCGTGTTGAGTCAAGTAGCATCGGCCGACGGGGTGTTCGGCCTCCATTGGTACGGGACGTAACTTTGTATGGAAGGACGGGATTCGGTGTGTGTTCGGCGGGACGGTCGATGGCACCACCCCATGGTTGTACGTCTCTCATACTTGTATTATTGTGGACTTTCCCTTTTGATTCTCCGAGAAGAAAGGCAAGAAAGGGTGACCGCAACGTGGTTTTGTTGCAAGCAAAGCCACCGGACTACCTAGACATGCATACCTACCTGCCTTTATTACCCCCCGCCCCCCCCCGGTGTTTGCCATCGGGATTGGGTTTCGTCGCTTGGCAAAGACGTTGTAAAACCTCCGTTTTTTTTTTTGGCGGTAACAATAATGGTGGTCGAGTAGATCACGTTGNGTGAGAACCCGGCGTGCTCCGTCCCGGCTTTGTAGGGATGCGAGGTCAATGGTCTAACGACTACGGCATGCACGACTGTGAGTACACACCCCCCCCCTATCGTTCCGGCGTCAACACAGCAGTCGCCGCGACAGCAACAGCAACACCGGTCGGCCCTGTCCGGAAGGAGGGCGGTGGCGGTCCAGACCGCTGCGGCCCATGTGACGGCGTCTCCGGGTACCGGGGTCCTCACGTCCGAGTCGTCGTGCTCCACCCATTCCTTCGCCGTGCCGGCGGAAAAGAGGAGCAGCTCGTCGAGCGGCGGCGGAGCGGCCGCAGGCGAGAAGGACGGCAGGGGCGGCGGTCGTTCTGGAAGGCGGGGCCCGGTTGGAGGGGGGGCTTCTGCCGCTGGCGGGGTGCCGTACGATCGCACCACGACCGTAGGTGAGCAAGGTCAGGAAGTAGGGGGGGGAGGAGGCACCCTTGTTGCTGCGTGTTTGTGGTCGGGTGTGTCGCGTGGGCCAGGGGAAGGGGCGGGGGTGGGCTTAAGGGTCCATTAAATAGAAGCGGAGACGAGAAATTGTCCAAAGGCGTTTGCGTTGCCGCACCCTGCGCTCCTGCGCCATCCTAGCTCTAGTGGTCAGGTGGGGAAGGAAGGGAGGAGAAGATAACGGTCCTGGGTACGAGTGCGAGTGAAGTCCTGCTTGGCTGCTGATGCTGCTACTGTAAGTGCAAAGCTCTCTTGCGATGTCGCCTGCGTCACCGCACGCACACAACGACTGCGGCAAGGTTGTGGACGGGGCGCTTGGCGAGTAATAAGTGGCGGGTGACGAGGGCATGGTGCATGGGGCGGGCGCTCATCACCTGGGCTGTGAGCTGCCATTCACTCGTGGTTAGGTTTGTGGGCTATCAGTGGTGTTGGGGTGGTGGTGCGCTGGGGACAGCTTACTGCGGGTACCCGTCTCTTCACGTTCCTCCCCCCCTTCGTGTTGATGTTTTCGGGGGGTCTTTTGTCTATGCTTACCCTTCCACCGGGCCTTTTATTTTTTTTCTGTGTGTCGCCATCCTCGTCGTGTGCATACACCTACCCACGCGCCACCAGCGAAAAACCTTGTGTCCCCAAACACGATAACACGCCGCGTGCACGCATACACACAGGCTACAGCCGGCTCTTGGCGCGGTTCACCAAGGGTCCCAGTCCGAGGGGGGACCGACAGAAGCCACCCCCCCCGCCGCCAGACCGCTTCGCGGTGTCGGCGGCGGCGAGCCGAGAGGTCGGCAGCGGCACCACCATTGCCACCGCGAGCAACCTGGGCGGCAGCAGCAGAAACAACTTCCTGAGCGGGAGCAGCGGCAGCGCCGCGAGCGGCGGCGGCGGCGGGGGAGGCGGTGGTGTCAGCGGCAGCGGTGGCAGCTGCGCGAGCAGCAGCACCAGTGGCAACATCTCCGTGAGCCTGACCAACAAGCGGCGGGTCTTCACCTTCGCGAACAACAGCAGCAACAACAAGAACAAGGCGCCCACCACCACTACTACCTCCTGCGCGCACGCCGGGTCTCTGTCCGCGCCTCCGCCGTCGTCGGCGCCATGTCCTGGCGCCGGCGCCGGCGAGCGCTCGGCACCCGTTAGCGCGACAGCCCCGTCCTCGGCCTACTCCTCGCCCCCGGGAGGGGCGAAACAGCGGCCCCTCCTCGTGCCTCTAGCAGCGCCGGCCACGGCTTCTCTAGCCACCGCCGAAGTGGCTGTGCGCCAGCCCTCCTCCTTCTCACCAGCGACGACGAGAGCGAGACCCGGTGCCGGCGATACCGCCGGCGGCTTTGTCGACGGCGGCTCCGGGCCCATCGGAGCGGCGGCGGCAGCGGCGGCGGCGGCCGCGGTATCTTCCACGCGAAAGCCGTCCCGGTTCGTCGTTCCGTCCATGTCCGGCTTCCCCGCGATGAACCCCGCCCGCGGCGGGGGAGGGGGGGGGGGGGGGGTGATGCTCCCGTCGCGGACCCCCCAGATCGGGCCGCCGGGGGGCGCGGGGGCCGGGGGCGCGTTGTCGAGTGGCGACGGTCAGGCTGCTGCTGCTGCTGCTCCTGCCGGGGGACCCGAGGGCGGCGAGGGTGGCGGCAACGGCCTACAAGGGCGCGAGGGCGGGAACGGTCCGAGGAACGCCGCGGCGGCCGGGTTTTGGTCGAGGGCCCAGAGCAGCGGGTCCTCCGCGGGCGGCGGGTCGGCGGTGGCGGCACCGCTTTCGCTGGCGACCGCCGGGGGCGGGGCAGGCGGCGGCGGGGAGGAGGGCAAGCGGTCCCCTCAGTCGTCGTGGGGGGAGGAGTGGGAGGAGGACGGCGGCGGGGAGGGGGAGGGGGAGGAGGTTGCCGGGATGAAGAATCGGGTGATGCACCTGGAGGCGGCCCTGGTGAGGTCGGAGCTAGACCTGTGCCGGGCGAGGACCGAGCTCGAGGCGAACCGGCGGGAGGCGGAGGCCCGCAGCCAGGCCAAGGTGTGTGTGTGTGTGTGTGTGTGTGTGTGTATTTTGCTTCAGCAGCGCTAACCGGCTGACCAATAAAAGACGTCAGTCTCAGTGCGGGTGAAAACACATGGGTCTGCGGTGTTTGCTTCGGGCTACTGCGTACGGTATTGTCGACCGCGCCAACTGGCCATTTTGGGCGACGACGTCTGGTCCCCGGTGGACACCAGACAGCCCTTTTTCGGGGCGTCGTTATGATTGGGCCCGACCCCCACCAAAGCCTCAGGGTTTGCAAGGCTTGTGCAATCATTCGCATTGATTCCACGTATCCCCGACCCTTGAATTTCCCACACGCATCTCCTCCGCCTTTTTTTGGTTGCGTTTCTTCATCGTCCACGTTTTGTTTTGTGGTGAAGGAAGCTGCGACCGATCGACGAGACCGCCACCCTGTCGTGCCTGGAGACATCCCCGCTCTTTACCACGCCCTGGAAGGGTCAGTCGTCCTCTTACAGGTGACTGGCTCGTCTCGCTCCGCTTCGCTTCCCAGCGGGGTGTCTGCTGTATGTGTTGCCAAAAACCAAACGTTGTTGCTTCCAACAGGGTGTTTACTGCGGGATATCTTTTCTCAATAAACAAATTTTGTTCCTTTCGAAGTGGTATCTACCCGTCTGCCTACAAACCCAAAATGTTGTTACTTCCAACAGGATATCTGTATGTCCTCCCAATAATCAGTTTTTTTCTTGCTTTCAAATCTGTGTCTTCTCAAGAATCAGTTGCCGTTGCTTCCATCAGGGAATATATCTATGTCCTCCCGATAACGAAATGCTGTAGCCTCTGCCTCTATCAAGGTAACTACATGGCATCCTACAAACCAAATACTTTGTTGGATGTCTACATGCCTTCCCACAAAGCCAAGTGTTGTTTTACCCAACAGGGAGTCTTTGGTGTGGTGTGTCCGCAAGAACCAAACGTTTGTTATTGCTGCTGTGGTTGCTGCGACTTATGGTGGTGGTTGTGGTGTTGGGTGGCGGCGACGGCAGTGGTGTGTTCTGTGTTGAATGATCGAGATAGAGCGGGAATCGGGCCGGGTCGGACACACGGGTAGTCGGTACACCTGGCCTTCAAGCCACGCGCACGCCGGCAGGCAGCGTTTGCCGTCTTCCCCCCGAACAAGTCGCTGCCCTAGCAGGTAGCAGAGGCACAAATATCGTGGCACTGCCATGAAACATTTTTGACGCAATTTCTCTCTCCGTGTACATGGGCAAGGCTTGAGGAGCCGTCGTCGTCGTCGTACCACCGATTCAAGTTCTCAAGTCCCTCAAACCTGGTGCCTTGGTGGACTACTACACTACGCATGGCCGCATTTCACCAGTTACGATCTCATTCTGCTGTACGTTTGCATTTTTATTCTCTCGTGGTCCTGAGGTACATAGTACCCCAGCCGCTCCTATGCGGCAGGTAGGGCCTTCATCTGATGTCATTTTTGGCTGTTGAGTCTCCTCTGTAGTTCTCTTCGTCCAACTGGAAAAAACTTTTCTCGCGAATGGTGAGCGATCGTTCGCCTCGGCTTTTCCTTCCCTTTTTTGAACCAGATCGCCTCGGAGAAGATGCTTTGCCTGGAGCACACCATCGCCAAGCACCGGGAGGCGATGCCGAGGCACCTCTACAGGGAGCTGCAGGACTGCGTTACTCAGGACGCGATGCTGCTGTCCCCTCTCCCGCGCCGTCGCCAGCAGCACGGCCACTACCACGTCCACCACCAGCGTTAAAGGGCTCTCGCTCTTGACGACAATAGCGGTGCTGCAGAGCTGTAGCCGCCATGAGAAGAAGAAGCACCTGCTGCTGCTGCTGCTGCCACTGCCAAGAGCAGTGGCGCACTGCACGAGTTGCTGCTGCCTCGGCTGCTGCTGACGTTTTAGCCGAAGTTTTCGGGTCGATGGCTTGCCGGGTTGTCGCCCCCCAACTCAAACCTCGCGAACGCGGAAATGCGACGCAAGGCGGGGGGCGCTGTTTTTGAGGCGCCCCTTCTTGCGTCGGCAAGGAAAAGCGCACATATTTCAGGCATTTTAGAGTCCGGAAGTTGTCGTCTGGAACACCGCACCGATTGACCCAGAGGGCGGCGTTTAAGTGTACATTTTTTGTCGTATGGGGAATTGTCGATTGCAGTGGGAGTTTGTCGATTGTAATCAGGGTTTTGTCGATGGTATGGGTGGGTGGGTGGGTGGGGGGGGGGGTTGTTAGTCTTGTTGGTAGTTTTTTTTTTGGCTGTGTTGCGAGGGGGAATGAGAGAGAGAGAGACAATGGACGGAGGCAGAGGCAGAGACGCCGGGGATGCGTGGGCATGGGTGCCAGGGGCGTTTTAAATAGCAGCTATTTCGTGTTTCGCTCCCAAATTTCCGAAGTTCCAAATCCACAGATAATAGAACCTCGATTTGCGGCCGAGGAAAATAGCACCGAAAAAAAATTGAACGTTCGATAGTGTTGGAATTTGGAAGCAAAACGGCTGTTTTTGAAACGGCCGTAGTATGTAAAGAGCGGTGACCTGTTGAGCACGATTATTATATTTTACATGGCATTACATCATATTCCCGTTTTCCCGTTTTGATGTTTGTCGTGCTACAAAGTTTTATGTAGATTCTCTGTGGGGGTTCACATTGCTTCTCTGTGTGAGAAAGAGCGATGTCGGTGTATTCTGTGTTACCACTCCTTCCAACCCGTGGCCACGCACCAAATCGAATACAAACGGCAACGTTAGGTTGAAGATTTGCGAGGACAACAGACATGGTTGCGGACCACGAGGATGCGGGGGGGCGGGGGGAGGGGGGGGAGTTCAAGAATCGAAGAACATATTTTTATGACTGTGTCCTTCACCGTCGACCGCCTTCTCCTTGTGACAGTTGTCGCTCCAAAGAAAAAGGGCCGAGGTGTTGCGAAACATGTGTAGGAGAGAATGGTGGACAGGGTCTGGTGCGGCGTGCCGCGGGAACTCTGTGCGGGTTCAACATACCAGGAAGTTCATAGCCTCCGCGCCCCCGAGTCACGACGAGCCTGCTTCTTGTTCTTGTTTTGCGAGCGGGTCTGTAATTTGAGGTAGATTGAGGTAGATTTGTCCCCCCCCCTTCTGTAATGTTCGATTTGCTCTCTCGGGCCTTAAGGCCACGACCAAATAAGCATGAGGGATATAGGCCATGAAGGAAGGTTTGGTCCCCACTGCTTGGAGCCCAACTGCTCTTCTTGTGTGGGGGTGGGTTCGTTAGGTTTTCAGGGCCGGGAGAGGGTGTGCCAGTGAAGGACGTCAGAGCCTGAGTGGGGATGCTCTGCAGATGTATAGTTGCTTTTTGTGTTGTTTTTTCATGTTTTTTTGTGACGCCCGGTGCTCCGTCTTTCCGTGAGAACTCGGCGCGCGTGGAGGGACGGCACGGGTGAGTGCCGGTGCCGAAGCTTGGTGGTCTCATTGTGGTGCCACTGAAGCTTTTGCCGGTGCTTGGCTGGGCGCGATGTGACGACTTTCGTGTGTTAAATGTGGGTGCGCCCTGGGTGTTCTCTTGTTATTCTAGCGTCGTCCCTGTCTCTTGATGACGGTGCCGCCGCTGTTGCGGCTTATGCTGAAGCCGGCGGCCAAGACTACCGTATACAAGAAATAACATGATCGATCCTTGGGATGTTCACAGCAGATGTTTCGAATGCGACATGTTTTCCTGTAAGCCCCCCCCCCCCCCCCCCCCCCTCGGTATTTGCCATCGGGGTTGGGTTTTCGTCGCTTGGCAACGACGTTGTAAAACAAGCCGCCCCCCCCGGAGCCATGTCCGGTGAGAAACCGGCGTGCTCCGTCCCGGCTTTGTAGGGATGCGAGGTCAATGGTCTAACGACTACGNGTGGTTTGCTTTTTTTCAAGATTTTTGTTGATCGGCGTTTTGGAATGTCGTACATTCTTTTATCAAAATCACAGCAGTCCGCCGGCCGAAAAGTCATTGACGAGAAGGAAACGATTATGCCGTTGCTGTTTTGGGATAGTGCTTTTACGATTTTTCTGCTCTTCGTGGCGTCGGACCCGAAGCATGCTGCGTTTTGCGTGCGCCGGAGTGAGAACCCGCACTGGCTCTGTTATTGTCGGTGTCGAATCTTTTGGCTGTTTGCGTGGCCTGGCTCTCCCCACATGTTGTTCGCGCTGCGTTTGTGAGCTTGTAGACTTATTGTTATGCCGTCTGTTGTACGGTGTTCGTTTTGTTTGTTCTTCCCGACCCCTCCACTCTTCGTTCCTCGCTGTCATCTTCTTGTTGAATCCTTGTTTGATGCGCGCGTGTGGTGTTTTTGTTAGCATCGACTGCGCTAACCATTGAAAAGATTGCAGTTGGGAGCAGAAAACGCAAAGTGCTACCGTGCGCGCGTGTGTGTCCGTAGTATATATAGTCTTTGCGGCGGGGTTGGGTTGGCTCTGGCGGGTTTCGAAGACAGGCCAGGCGTGTTTCCGGTAAGTTTTTTCGAGTCGGAGGCATGCATTTGTTGTTGTGTGTTTTAGCACTGCACGGAGGCGCCTGTCCTGTCGTATTGATGTCTCTCCAGCCTGTCGTGTTTGTACGAGTATTTATCCCTTGCTTGATCTCCTTTTACTCGTTTTTCTTGCACGTTCTTCGCCCCCTCTGGGGACCCTGGGAAAACGCCAGTCACATGATCGTTGCGTCGAGCCCGGAGGGGCACGGTATGCCACGAAGGTGACGCATGAATGAATGAATGAATGAAACGAGCACCTTCTAGCACTGCAACTTTGATCAGGACGGCGCTGCTCTTCTGTGACGGTTCTTGATTACCATTGCGGCAGCAGCGACGACACTGGTGACGTCAGCCGGCAAGCAATTCATGTCGCTATTGCCCGCGAATGAATCTTGTCGCGACGTACCTACCATGGGGTAGGTCGTTCTTCTTCGAGAGTTCTGGTGCCTTCCTTCCCCCCAATACCTCGAATTGGCAACGCAGCTTGCCTCAGAGGCAACTGCGCGACTCCTCTACAAGATCGTCTATGTCTCCATTAAGGTGGCGTGATTGTCGCAGGATGGTGCGTACCGAGGTCGACGATTTTTCATGAAGCAAGCGGTAAGCCAAGATGGGCCTTTGGTTCCCGTAGTACCTCGAATGGCCTCCCGGTTGGGTTATTTACCTGTGTGCCCGTTGTTACTAGTACGCGGTCGCTCAAAGGGGGGGGTAGATTGGTCGTTTCGAAGCCGATGTGGACATCGTCTTTGACTCGGATGAATAGTAATGCGTTTGTTTGTTGGTGTTCAATGAATATACTCGCTTTTGTTGTCCTGTTTCTCGATCTTTTTTGGTTTATCCTATTAAAAGTGTGTGGTACGTTTTTTCAGTTGTGGGGTGGCCTGTGACAACGTAAGGCGTCCGCGTGAGTTGACTGGTACTGAGCAGAGAACCCTGAGGAAAGATTTCTCGTGTGAGTATAGACAGCAATCAATAATGATCCTGACTACAGAAATAGGCTTCGTGTGGGCTTTGTGTGGTTGGTTCATTCCAAAGGTAGCAAAGAGCGAGCGAGGGGGCAAGGGTGCGCGCAGTTCAGGTGCATTGGGCCTACATGCGGTAGACAGCTGCGCAAATGCTACAACAATGTTGTATCGACCACAGGAGGGTTCTGTCACCTTCATGCTACCCCCCCATCTTAGCTTTTTTCGCCCTCTCCCCCCCAACAAGCCGATTCACTTCGTGAACTCGGCAACCAGGTTTCCTTTTTTTTTTTTTACCTCCGTTTTTTTTTTTGGCGATAACCATGAATGGTGGTCGAGTACATCATGTTGTGCGGGGTGGAGAACCCTCACTCCGCGCAAGGGGGATGATCGCACCACGTTGTGTTAAAATGGTCAAGCACCCTCGAGGCAGTTACACAGTGCTT